TATTTTATTTTTTTTTAATTAGTGAAACACCATCAGGTACAGTTGTAGATTTACAATTTTTTGTGCTTGGGTTTCGATTATACAATGATCAGATACCCATCCCTCCACCAGTGCCCATTTTCCACCACCATGGATAATATCCCCCCCACCCCCATGCCCCCATCCCCCCCGCCTCTGTGGCAGGGCAATCCCCTGTGTTCTCTCTCTCTCCTTTTTGGGTGTTGTGGTCTGCAAAAGAGGCATTGAGTGGCAAACATGTTCAGTCCATGGTCTACTTTCAACATGCATCTCCCCTCCTGGGAGGATCCTCCAAACACCCTTTATGTGGTGCTCCCTTCTCTATCTGAGCTGCCCTTTCCTCTAGAATGCCCGGCTGGCCACTAAGCTATGGAGTAATCCTCCTGGTGCTGATCTCAGCTATTCTTGGGTATTAATTTCCTATTTTGTTACTTTATATCCCCCAGATGAATGCAATCTTTCTATGTCTATCCCTCTCTTTCTGACTCATTTCGCTTAGCATGATACTTTCCATGTTGTACCACTTGTATGTAAATTTCATGACTTCATCTTTTCTAACAGCTACATAGTACTCCATTGTGTAGATGTACCAAAGTTTCTTTAACCAGTCATCTGTTCTTGGGCATTCAGGTTTCTTCCAGTTTCTGGCTATTGTAAAGAGTGCTGCAATGAACAAACAAGTGCAGATGTCACTTCAACTATACATTTTTGCCTCTCTGAGATATATTCCCTGGAGTGGTATTGCTGGGTCAAATGGGAGCTCCATTTCTAATTTTTTGAGAATCGTCCATACTGTTTTCCAGAAGGGCTGAACCAGTCGACATTCCCACCAACAGTGCAGGAGTGTCCCTTTCTCGCCACATCCGCGCCAGCATCGGTTGCTTTTGTTCTTTTGAATGTGGGCCAGTCTCTGAGGTGTGAGATGGTATCTCATTGTGGTTTTGATCTGCATCTCCCTGATGATTAATGATGTAGAGCATTTTCTCATGTGCTTTTTTGCCATTCGGATTTCTTCTTTGAGAAAGTTTCTGTTCATTTCATTGCCCCACTTTTGGATGGGGTTGGATGTTTTCTTCTTGTGGAGTTTAACCAGTATTTTGTATATCCTGGATATCAACCCCTTGTCAGATGTGTATTCGGCGAATATCCTTTCCCATTCTGTAGACTGTCTTTGTATTTTGGTCACTGTTTCTTTGGAGGTGCAGAAGCTTCTTAGTTTAAGATAGTCCCATTTATCTATATCTGTTTTCACTTGCTTGGCCAGTGGCGTGGCATCTTTGAAGATACCATTAGCTTGAATGTCATGGAGGGTTTTGCGAACTTTGTCTTCAATGTACCTTATGGTTTCTGGTCTGATGTTGAGGTCTTTAATCCATTTTGATCTTACTTTTGTACATGGTGTTAGGCAGAGTTCTGATTCGCAGATGATATGATACTATACTTAGAGAACCCAATAACCTCCACCAAAAAACTCCTAGAAACAATAGACTTGTATAGTAAAGTTGCAGGCTATAAAATCAATACCCAAAAGTCCATGGCTTTCCTATACACAAACAGTGAGAGAGAAGAAAGCAACATGAAAAAAACAATCCTGTTCACAATTGTGCCCCAGAAAATCAAGTACCTAGGAATCAGCTTAACTAAGGAAGTAATGGACCTGTACAAAGAAAACTACAAAACGCTACTTCAGGAAATAAAAGAGGACATGAGGAAATGGAAGGATATCCCCTGCTCATGGGTCGGGAGACTTAACATTGTCAAAATGACAATACTACCGAAAGCATTGTATAAATTCAATGCAATCCCTATAAGGATACCCATGACATTCTTCAAAGAAATGGAGCAAACACTCCTGAAATTTATATGGAACAATAAGCCCCCACGAATAGCTAAAGCAATTCTTGGGAAAAAGAAAATGGGAGGAATCAACCTTCCTAACTTCAAACTGTACTACAAAGCAGTAATAATCAAAACAGCATGGTACTGGAACAAAGGCAGAGCTGCAGACCAGTGGAATAGGGTTGAATACACTGACATCACCCCTCAATCATATGATCATCTAATCTTTGATAAAGGTGCAAGTAATGTGAAATGGAGTAAGGAAAGCCTCTTTAACAAAGTGTGCTGGCAGAACTGGACGGATACAACCAAGTGGGATTCTTATGGGCATACTTCATTGATTCAATCACCATCACAGAAAAAGTCAAAGTTCTTTTCCACCCACTGAGGTGACAACTCAGGAAGTCTATCTGAATCAGGAGCTCCTCTGGGGATTTGCCATGCACACATGGGAATGACTGTGTGACATTTCTCAGTCCTTCTCACAGGAGACTTCACAGCCCAGCTGTCAAACTGCTCTAACCACGCAAGTCTCTAGCTTAGTTGTTCCCATTGAAAGCATGCTGCATTGTGCAGAATATAGTTAAAGAAGCTAGATATCTTCACAATGAGGAAATTATATCTGGGAAATCTATAATAACCAGGCAAGTGAGATTGTGCTATTTAAAACTACAAAGACAAGAAAGCTATTTATCAAACATGTCTATGTCTTGGATTCAAGATCAGTTCTATATATCCCAATTTTCCTGAGACTTGAGCACCAGAAAATCGCAGATAGTTCTTGTCTATATGAATGAGCTACTGTGACTATTGATTAAATAACATACCTGGTACAGAGATAAATCTCAGTATGTACTGGTTTCCAGTATATTCCTGGTAAGTTTTATTTTGATTATCAAGTTAAAGAAAGTAAAGCCACAAAGTTCAGTAACCCATTGATTAGAATATATTTTGATTTGAAATCCAGTAACTTTATCCATCAGTTGAATGCGACCACCATTTTTTCTGTCTTCTACATACCCTTCACAGCACTAGAACAGATTAAACATTAAATTTAAACTGAGCCTCTGTGACTCTCTTTGACCAATGGAAACAATTCTGAGTCCACACTAAGAGATTGAAAGACCTAGAAGCTTCTGCTTTTGTATATTTGGGAGTCTTTTTTTTTGGAATTGAATCATCATGAGATACCCAGTTACCAACTTGTTCATGATTGGATTTCAGTCCTACAATGTTCTAATGCTCATTCTTTATCCTTGGAAGACTTTAGCTGCTTTGTGGAATTCTGAAGGACTCACTTGGAAGGATAAGTCTAGGAGATGCTAGATAAAAAGGACTATGTGGAAGAGAACCCAGAAATCTAACAGCGGTTCAAACCAAGTTCCTAGATCTAGTTGAACTACACCCAGAGGAAGCCCTTGCCACTTGAACCAGGCTTGTGAGATTCCAGATCTATGAACAAATAGCCCACCTTTAATGGACCAGGAGCAAGCTACCGCTACCATGTCTGTCTTAATTTCTGACCCAAAGAACCATGATAAAGAGTTACCTGGTTATTGCTCATTTGTCTGCTATCTCTGGTCTCTGTCACAGCAGTTGGTAGCTAAAAGGACTGTCAATGTTTTTTACTTTTTTCCAGTCTACTGCTTTTACATAAATGTTGAAAAATATAAAGTATGTTTCCTCCACTACTAGGTATATTCATAGTTCTTGACTTGGTAATCACTTTATCATCACTTCCACTAGAAGAAGCAGAGCAAGGATTCCTGGAGCAAAAGTATATGTAAACAAGAAATCTGGTTTGTCTCTTACATGTACACCAAAACCACAGAATTCCCTGAATAAATACAGTTTCTTCCAAACACATTCAGGTTCTTGCACCTTCACTCCACTTCTTTCACTTATTTCATAGGCCTCAAGTACATTTACTAGATCCATGGTATTTTCAGACCTTGATAAATTATGCCAGCTAGTTGTCATTTCTTTCAAAGGCATATCATCTCCATTTTAGCTCCCAGACAAGGCAAAGCTGTACCTGCCAAATCCCCCACTTCATTCTTTCTGTGGAAATAATGGAGAAGACTTTCAACAAAGTTTTTATCAGGATCAAATCAACAGTGAAGGGATCCAGTATTATGTCCTCTAAAGAGGAACTTAACAATTTTATTTTTAACATCCACTCCAATTATAGACAGTAGATATGGCTTCTTTACTGCTCTCCCTTTACTTATTCTTTACAACCCTATTTCCAAGCCATCCTCTAACCAATTGCCAAAGAGAGATAGTAAGTCTTAAAACCCAACAGTATCATTCTCCACTCACTTGAGAAAGGTTTCCTGATGCCCCAGAATAACACACTGGAACCTGGCAGGGCTCAGCCCTCTCTGCTGCTGCTTCCTGCACATTACATCTGCCCTCCCTGCCTTGCCCCCAGCTGCCGGCACCAGATTCCTTCTCACCTGGTTAATTGCTACTCATCTTTCAGGGCTCTACTGAAATGTCACTAAGAGATGCTCCCCTAACCTCCACCCCTTCATCTAAATTAAATTTAATTAGGTCCTCCCCTGCCATCACCATTCCCATTAGCCTCTCTCTCAGCACCCTGGGTTTTTTTTTCTTCAAGATCACTTGTCACAGTTTGTAATTATATATTCACTTGTGAGCTTATTTATTTGGTCTGTATTGTCAGCACCTTATGGACCTTATTGTAGATTCCTGTTTTGTGAACAGTGTTCTTCTTATTAGTCTGTGTGTCCTGCTAAGAGTACACAAGCAAGAGTAACCAGCACCCATGGAATAGACAAATGCATGAAGACTAAAGGACTTGTGACCTAACCCATACCCAGCACTGGATTTAGCACTCCAAAATTGCTGACCAAGATTAAATCTTTCAGTTGCTTTTTGCTTGACCATTGTTTTTAGAGGATCACTTCACCAATAGAACTTATCCCTTCTGAAAGGTCTTAGGATGGTTGGAAGAACCAAATCTAACATGTGGACACACCGACACCCTCTTGCAGTGCTTTGCAAGACTAGCTCTGTACGGACACAAAAAAAAATGACAAAAAGGAATATCTCGCCAAGAACTTAAAAGATCAGCTAAGTGAAAAAGACACACACGGGGAGTGTTCATCCACTGGTACCTGGGGATGATCTTCATGGTACAACTGAGGCAGCATCCTCACCATGATGCACAGGATCTCAGGGTGCATGATCACAGCACCACCTTCTTCTGTTCTACAGAGAGAAAGAAAGAGAACGTCAGTCTCTTCTAGCCTCTTCTTTTCACAGAACTCATTGATCTTTCAAGACAGATCACAAAACACATCCTCATCAATGACTTCTAATTAACAAGATCATGAAGTCATTCTTCCATTTCAGGCTTTCTTCAACTGCCTGGTGGCACTAACAGTATCACACTTTGCTCAGACAGTCATGGAATAACTATTATGCAGGAAGCCACCATGACTAGCCCATAATTGATGTTCAGTGAAAACTTGTTCCCTGATCCTCTTTTTTTTCCTTTTCTTCTTCTTCTTTTTTCTTTTTTTCTTCTTCTTTTTTTTCAGTAAATACACACAAACATCCACACCCAAACACACAGAGTTCTGGATGTCTTTAGGATCGTGTAAGTATATTCTGACATACTCCTTAAATGCAATTCAAACTGAGATATAACATAAAAGCTTTTTCTCTGCCATCAATAGAAGTAGAAACTAGAACAAGATTCTTCCATGTGCAAAGAGGAAATAATTGCCAACCAAGAGTGTGCTTTTCAGCAAAGTTATCTGTTCAGAATCAGGGGGGTAAAAAAAATGACATGAAAACTAAGGGAGTTTATCACAATCAAATCCCAAGTGAAAAACATTTTTCTTTTCCATTTTTACTTTTTCCTGATCTCCTTCCTTCTTTCCTACTTTTCTTCTTTTCTCTCATGGAAATCTAATTATGAGTGGTAAATAATTCCAGATGGAAGGTTATGCCATGAAAGAATCATGAGTACAGATTTGAAAAATACATAGGTATGCATTTAAACATTGAATAAGGCAAAAGTAATAAACTCCTCATTTGATGGACTATCTCAGATTAGATTGAATTTAAATGTGGAGTATGCACATTGTAAATAATATTTGAGTCCCTATATTTACATATTAACTGGAAGGAAAGAGGAACTGAAAGAGGAACCATACACAGAAAAGGTTTAATTTATGAGGTGAACACTAAATTATTTTAGGAAGCCTCTGAAAGACTAATCATAAAAGACCAGGAACTGTGGATCAAGTGGCAGAGCACATGCATAGTATGCCCGAGGCATTGAGTCTAATCCCTACACCAGCATGGCCCTCTGAGCACAGTTAGGCTCAAGCACTGTATCATTGGACCCACAGTGCTGGGAGAACCTTGGTCACTCCTGAAGCACTCTTGCAGGTGGTTCCTATGAAAAAAAAAAAAGACTAATCATGGAACATACAGTTTCAAACTAGTGGGTGAACAGACAAGAAAGAAATGATCAAAAGAAAAAGTAGGACAGGTAGAAAATACAAAATAACTAAGTAAAAATCATTCCAAATATATTAATTATTATTTTAAATGTAGGCCAAGAGAATTTACCACTAAAATATTTTTAAAACCTTATGAGGTTAAAAATAAAATTAAAATATTTACTGTTTATAAGATAAACAACTCAACTAACGACCCAAAAAAGTTGAGAGGGAATTTTAAAAACAGGCAAATACTAAGTCAAAGGGTATAATATTATTATTATAAATCATTTCTATTATGATAAATATATGCATTAAGATAGTCACAAAATAACGATTAAATTTGTGATCTCACAGAATGACATAAGGACAATGAAAATTGTGATCTCTCAGGATGACAAGGGCTGGAGCCATAGCACAGCGGTAGGGCATTTGCCTTGCATGCAGCCAACATGGCCGACCCGAGTTCAATTCCTCCACCCCTCTCGGAGAGCCCGGCAAGCTACCGAGAGTATCTCGCCCACACGGCAGAGCCTGGCAAGCTCCCCGTGATGTATTCGATATGCCAAACACAGTAACAACAAAGTCTCCAATGGAGACGTTACTGGGCCCGCTCAAGAATATCGATGAACAACGGGAGGACAGTGACAGTGACAGGATGACAAAATAATGTAAAGTCTAATAGTCAGCCTCAGCATCTAATGCAGAAATTAATAGAAATTAGAAAAACTATGATTGTAATGAAAGTTGTTTAACCTATTTAAGTAACTGGTATGTCAGCAGATTAAATAATCTTGAATCTTCTGGACCAGAGATAGTTCAGGGGTTAAGGGGCTTGCACTGCATGCAGCTAACCCTGGTTCTATCCCCAGTACCACCTATGGTCCCTGAAGCACTTCCAGGAGTCCCCAAATTCCACCAGGTGGATAGAAGCTGGCACTGCAGAGCCTGAGCAGCACTGTACCCTCAGGCCTTCACACTAATCTATTGCCCATTTGGCTAAGAATCATCAGGATGGGGCTGGGGCTCCTGGGCTTGGGAGATCCCTCAGAAAACAAAAAAAAAATTGTCTGAAAATTTGAACAAGACTATTGACAAATTTGATCTAAAAAAAAAGCAAAACCCTCAAAGACTGAAGCTAATGTTTGGAAAATATGCATTCTTTTCAAGCAAATATGGAACATTTATGAAAATTTACCACACGGGAAAATGGAAGGATGGGGGGGGCAAAGCCAAGCTCCACTGGCATCGAAGGATTAATATCATATCACCCACCTTCTCTCATGATGATAAAATTAGAAATTAATAATAAAGAGATGATTAAAAAACACTCTGGAACATTGGAAATTTAAAAATCAAACAACACTCAAGAGTCAAGCTGCCTCCTGAGAGGCATTAGGAGTTATTTAGTACTAAATAATATTGAATGTTCAACATAAAATTTGTCTGATATAGCTAAAATAGTAGCTACAATAAAATTGATATTTAAAAAAAGGACTGGAAATTCGTCTTCTAACCAATTTTTAAAATGTATACCAGAATAAATGCAAAGTAAATTGAAGGGAATAATAAAAACAAAACCTAAAAAAAGAAATAGAAAATTTATATTTGAGAGACCATAAGTGGTGCAAAATTGTTCTACTGACACACTGATAAATAATCCTCTCACCAGATTGTTGGAATGCAAGGGTAGGGTAGGGTGGGGTGGGGCAAGAGAACATGCAATTTAAAAATAATTAATTAATCTTTAATTGATTTATTATGAATTAATAAATAATTTATAGTTAATAAATATTGATAGATAATATTTATTAATAGACAAAGTATTGATAAATAATGCTAGAAATAAAAATTTAAGACATTATGAGTAGTCATAAGCTTCTAAATGGAAACTTAGATGAAATGAGGAAATAAAATTAATTTGCCAAAAGTGATTCAATACTAAATAAAAATTAATCTTCACAACAATAGTTCTTCTCATGAGAAAACAGCAGGTTCATAAAGTTTCAGGAACATATTAACTCTCCCAGAGAAGAGAGGCCATGCAACCCACCTCCTGCTATGCATTTCCCCTTTTATGACCATAAAGTTGACCATGAAAATAGTCAAGAAAGGCACAGACCAATTTGGGGCCGTCTGCATCTCAACCTTCTTTTACTCTGTAGGGTATTGGCTCTCTTCCCTTTAGAAAAGCCCACATTCTCTCTTAAACACCCCTCTCTCTCTTTCTCTCTTACTCTTTCTCTCTCTCTCTTTCTCTCATCTTCTTCATATTTCACATACAAATCTATTTTTTTTTAATTGTTAAGAAGAGTGAAGGCCAAAGTTTCTAATAAACTTAAGACCTTTTTAAAAACTGACAAATCAGGGGCCAGAGCGATAGTACAGCGGGTAGGGCGTTTGCCTTGCACATGGCCGACCTGGGTTCGATCCCCGGCACCCCATATGGTCCCCTAAGCACCGCCAGGAGTAATTCCTGAGTGCAAAGTCAAGAGGAACCCCTGAGCATTGCTGGGTGTGACCCAAAAAGCAAAAAAAAAAAAAAAAAAATTGACAAATCAGGGCCAATGAATTGGTTCAAAGAATGGAGTACATGCTTTACATTCAGGAGCCTTGGGGTCAATCCCAGCACTGCAGGGTCCCCGAAGCACTGTTGGAAACCACCCCCAAAGTACAGAGCCAGAAGTAACATTGCTGGGTGTGCCTGCAACCGCCCCCTCCAAAAGAAAAAACAGTACAACTAGCAAATCAAATTTAGCAATAATTACATCTTGAGCAACTCGATTTATGCAGGAATGCAAGATTAGAAAACCAATTCATTATCCGATTAACGAAGATGAAACAAGAGCAATCAAGTGATTATCTCTGAAGTGGAGATTTAACATCCATCCTCCTCATCACTGAAATCTGGCTAATAGGACTCTCTGCATAAGAATGTAATGTTTTCCAGATGGGGTCCTGGGGTATGAAAGGGAAGATGACATGGAGAAGTTGTTGGCAAAATAATTGGCTGCAATATTAATCTGTGTGGAGGGAAATTGGGGACACTGGTGCTGGGAAATGTACACTGCTGGAGGGATGGGTGTTGGAACAGTATATGACAGAAACCAATCATGAACACCGTTGTAAGATTCTATCTCACAGTGATTCAATAATATATATGCATATATATACATATTAATCTGTGTGATCTGTGTGTAGTTACTACTGCTTCAAAGGAAGAAAGAGAAATACCAACCACCGTTGCTTTGACTTTCATTTTCCCTAACCAAGGTGGAGAGGAGTGTTCCTTGTGCTCCCTTGCTTTAGTGGAATTTTGTGTTACATGATTAAAAGCAGAAACTCATTTCTAAACGTCTAACCTCATTGAGTAGACTGGCCAGAGGAGCCATTGTTCTTCATAGAGAGAGTGAAGGCAGCAAGAAGAAGCAGGAAGAGGCCCATGATTAGGGAGGATACTGCAGTTTGTATCCAGTAAGTGAAAAAGTTCAGTTATCTCATCTCACCCCTGGCCATGTCTCAGGGGGAATCTGCTCATTGGCAAGCCAGGCACAAGCACCAAGGTCCCCACCCACCTCAGGAACAGAGAAGCCAATGGAGGACGTGAGACTCTTAGTAGAGTCCTGCCCTTAGTTTCTAAAACTGAGTAAGCCTCAATCGCTAGTGTGACCCAAAAGCATTCCCTAGGCCTGTGTTGACTCCAGCTGGTTTTCAGGCAGCTTTCAGGGTGGTGAGTTCAAGTTAATGTGTCTTTGGAGTCATAAAAAAAAGGAAAATCATGTGACCTTTCTGCACCCCCCCAATTTGTAGCCTTGGCTTCCTTGCTACTGCACATGAATAGGAGAAATGGGAGAAAGACACAATGATGAGTGATTGGTGGGAGCTGAAGGCAAAGCTCTACCTTTCCTCCAGGTCTGGCCACTGCCTGATGTTTCCTCGGGGACCACTGCCTTCTCCTCCTTCCTGGGCATCTGTAGTTGGCTCCTGCCCATCCTTCAGGGGCTCCTTCAGATCCCTGTGCAGGGTGCCACTGACCATGCTATCCAGAAAGTTCAGGATCTGCAGGCAGCTTTGTATCTTGGGTGGGAACGGGCTGGCAGTGGAAAGTGCCACACTCAGCAAATCAGCCAGTGGCCTGGTCTTTGTGTCAACCATGGAGTGTGGAGGGGTCCCCTCTTCCTGCGGAGCCCCAAAACAGCCCAGTAGGCAGAGGTCATCAGCCAGCTTCTCAGGGAGCCCGTTCCTCCTGAAGAAGTCACTATTGATAGGGTCCAGGTGTAATGCTGCTGACAAGGCACAAAGCGTGTGAAGAATGAGGTCTAGCGTCTGACTGGGTGACACTGTCCTCCAGGTCTGCAGTGGAGGCTCCAGAAGAGATCCCTCCAGGTCAGAAAGCAGGGACAGCAGCCCATTGAACCCACTGGACACTCGGAAAGCAGCACGGCCTTTGGGAGTCTCCAGGTTCCGGAGCAGAGACTAAAATACAAAAGAGAGAAGAACGTATAGAGTATAGAAAGCAGATTTATAATGTAGAATTCCTTCACATCCCTTCCCAGGCCTCTTCCCTGATCAATGTCATGGGAACATTAGGCAGATCTGGCTTATGGGGCCAATTCAGAGACTTTGTGAGGTGAACGTTGTTCCTCTTAATTTAAGAATCTGTGACATACTGGGAAATTGAAAAGCGAAATAAAACAAACATCATGATCACGACCATCCTTTTGTTCGTCAATTGCCTCAAGCAGGCACCAGTAATGTCTCCTTCGCCCTACCCCTGAGATTTTAAAAAGTGCCATATTCAAGACTCTTTCAGGGTTAGGAGAATGAGACCCATCATTGTTACTGGTATTTGGCATAGTGGGTACACCACGGGGAGTTTGCCAGACTCTGCTGTGTGGGCAGGTTACATTTGGTAGCCTGCCAGGTTGTCCAAAGTAAGAATGAGATAATAAGATGTCCTGTGGCCACAAATGCGGCCGGGCTGCACGCTTCCAGGAGCTGTAATCCCATCAACAACCAAGACCCAGAGACCACAAACAAACATCATCAGGAGACTATTGAAAGGTCAAAGTCTATTGTGATCAAGATAAACAAGTAGTACTAGAAAGGGAGGTAGTAAAAAATCATCTTTACCAAATGGGTCAACCGATTTTGTCCGAGTTACAGAAAAAGAAAATTCATAACTTGAGAGGGTGAGATCAATAATTACTCACCACAGTCAGGGGACAAACATTGGGACACTGAATCGTTTCTATTTATAATTCAACATAAATAGAATTTGTTTCTATTTACAAAATAAATAGAAATTGTTTCTATATACAAAGCACTCTGCACTGGGGCCATCCACTTAAGGAGGATTATATTAGCATCAGGGATAGGCTTCAAGGAAGTTCACTTTCCAGAGAAGTGAGGCAAAAGTGAATACTAAAACTAAGCAATGGTAACTGCCCTTTTCCTGGGTACAGTTATGACCCAACTACTTCTGACTTTGTCTAAAAACCCAGGAAAGGGTAATATTTGTAAACATATCTTTAAAAGAAGCATAGAGACTATAAGACCATTTTCTTCAGACGGGTGTGACTTATAAATGTGAGTGGTCATGGAGCCGCGCCCAGTTTTCTAGATGGACCAGACATTCCTCTGTGTGGACAGAGAGCATCCCCCGCAAGCTCAAAATCAGGCCTATGCTCTGTATTTGTTCCTTCTTATAAGAATAGCACATTCCTGGTGGAATATTATTTTTGACCAAATTTCAAATGCACTGTAACCTTGAAGTCTATGGAGTGGTGGTGGTCTCTTTCTGCCAAAAGATAATCCTTCAAGATCCTAAAGACATGTATACTCCAGACTGCATTTCATTGTCTGAATCTGCCCTTATGCCTGGTCACCATAACTCATTCCATGAAAAAGCGATCACAATATATTAGGAACAACCCAGCTATAGACTTTAAACCTAAATATATGCAGTCATCCCTAACTATGAGGTTGCTTAAGGCAATAGAATGAGTAGAAGCTCTTCTGTTTATCACATGATGTATGACAAAATCAATTGCAAAAAAAGGAGGAAAAATAAAAACCAAACAATCAAATAACAAGCAACCATTTGAGCTCTGGATGAGCACTAAAACTTCCATCTTTGCTCAAGAAACCTTTTCCAGTGTCTAATTTGACAGCAGATAGTGCTCAAAAGCTCCCATTATTCAGAGTGTTTAAAGCAGATTATTTCTTTTGAAACGAGAAAGAGAAACCCAATAACAGTCCTCCTTATAGTCTGTGTATCTCAGAGGGTCTGTCCCTTGTAATTCCTAGATGACTCTTTACTCCTCTTGCTGGGGGCTGGGGTGAGGAGGGATTAGCTGTCCTTAATTGTTGCTTTGTTTGATTTATTAAATTCAGAGTCATTATCTAAAATGGGGTTAATCTCATTAGGACTGAGACTGCTCTATTATTTCTTGGGATGGGGTTAATTTCATATTTGCAGAGTCATAAAGTAAAGAGTCTAAGATCCAATTACAAAGGCTTAATTTCATAGCAACTAAAGAGAAACATTTCTATCATAAAGGAAAATAAATACCACACTACTTTGGGAAACGATTTGTCAGGAACCCGGGCCTAGGAGGAGGGTCTCCATTACTGTCATTCAACTTTGCAGGATAATGCATCACCTAGGCTTGTGAGTCTGCAGAAGGGAGTAAATTTAATCAGCTGAAGTCAAAGTAATCAGGCTAGGGTTGACACATTTCAAAAAAGGTCAGCGTTAAGCACATTTTCTCCTCCTTAACTCAGTTACCATGTCATCGTTTCTGAGTTAGTATTCCTCCAGCTTGAATCTATAAAATGGATGTCTGCTGCAAAGCGCTAACTACATTAGGACTAACAGGATTTATTTCACATTCTATTATTTGTTATTCCTCATAATTTTCCATGTGTCATGCTGGAAGACCAGTGAGGTAATGCGATTAAGCTCAGAGTTGAACAGCTAAATGTATATTAGCAAATCAATCTGAATTTGTGCATAACCCAATCATGGTCCCACTGGCCGTGGAGAGAAAATTCATTTGCCTACATTATTCTTTAACTTGGTTATCATTTGCCAGAATTAGGTAGTGAAGTCACATGTGCTTCTGTGTTGGTATGGAAGCGCCCCTGGATTTTGGAAACTACTGCTCTGAGTCGAACGTTTCCAGAGGTGTTTTCCCTGCTGGAGTAGCTGCCTGGTTCTGCCCCAGGAAAGGGAAGTGACGATAAAGTCATGAATGTATTCAGACAATGGCAAGTATTTGTTGGAGGAAACTGGGAGTGCTGCCTTTGAGTTCCCCAGGCCTCATTAGCTCCCCTTCATCCTTTAGCTAACACACTTTGTGGGCCCCCTGTTTCACACAGAGTTTGCTCTCCACTTCTTAAATGGAAGATTCAGCCAGGAAAAGCAAATTTCACATCCTTGTCTCTAAAGTTCCAAAAGGGTCCCAAGATGATTTAGAACAAATGCGAGTCCCACATCAGATTCTAGCAAACGCTCAGTTGTTGTTCACATCACTCAGTGCCGGGCAAGTCTGGAAGAGGCTCTTGGGCCCCATCACTCCCCTCCACCCACTGGAGAAGCAACAAATAGTCCCGGTCCTGGGAGAGCCATGGCAGCTCTGGGCACCCTCCCGACTGCCCAGCAGTGACTTGGCACCCAGGGAGAAGACGGCACATTGAATGCAGGGGATGATTTTGTTAAATAAGCTTACAGTGTTTATTCCTGACGTGCTCTCTTGATAGCATGATTCTGAAATGATATTGAATCTGTAAAACACCATAATGGCTTTACAGTGCTAATTCTAGAAATTCAGTCCTATTACCCAAGGGTGAACACTCCAATAAGGTGCCCCTGGGCTCTAGAGTAAACAAGATGAACTTTCTGTTAACAAAGTAGAGCACTCTTTTCTATAATAGGCACAGAGACACTGTAACGGTCAAAGTGAGATCAAAACTTTCTTCTCTAGATCCGTTTTACTTCCACTAGGAAAATATCAGAAACAGTAGGGGATTTAAATTATTCACCCAATATAAAAACTAAGTCCTGACTCCTGGCTGTTCCTCTAAGAATAAAGCTATTCCAATCACACAGCACAACAGATGAGAAGAAAACGCAATAACAAAAACAACAAAACAGAGTAAAGAGATAGCTGAACTGAAAGTTACAGCTCTTCAGTTCAACCTCAGCTTTTCCATGAGTATTAGCTGCTTTGGGATGTTTCTCTGCCAAGAGTATTAAGAATGTACCATGTGAAACTGAGGTCCAGTTCTGACTTATTATTTATCCTTGCACTTTCTCCTCTCTCTCTCTCTCTCTCTCCCTCCCTCCCTCCCTCCCTCCATTATTCTCTCCTATATTCTCAATCCCATTTATTACCTCACATACTCATGGGACACTGGTATTTTTCAAAAAGATACTTAATTTTCCCTTCCTGTCTCATATGACTCTCCTTCATTGACTTCTGATCAGATCACCGGTTTAGTCTTTGTCATCTACAAAATACATGACAATTAGACTCATAATTTGATCAATTTCTCCTCGTGGGCAGGTTTAGGCCATGGGACAAAAAGAGCATAGCTGCATCAATGTCTAACATGATCGCATAGAGAAATAAAATGGGTAACATAAACTGAACACCGTTGCCTAAATGTTTGTACTGAGAGAGGCATAGCTGAAGATGGTGAATGGTTTAATATTGGATCAAGTGTGGTGTATCCATGAAATGTGAGCACTGTAGCACTGTCTTCCTGTTGTTCTTCGATTTGCTCAAGCGGGCACCAGTAACATCTCCATTGTGAGACTTGTTGTTCCTGGTTTTGGCATATCAAATATGCCATGGGTAGCTTGCCAGGCTTTGCCGTGTGAGCAGGATGCTCTCCGGTAGCTTGCCGGGCTCTCCGAGAGGGACGGAATCAAACCTGGCGTTGGCTGCGTGCAAGGCAAATGCCCTACCTGCTGTGCTATATAGCTCCAGTCCATCTTGTGGTGATTCAAATTAATTAATTAATTAATTAAATCAGAGAAAGAAAAAATAAAGATAAAATCCCATCAGGGGCTGGTGGACACAGTACAGTGGTTAGGGCATTTGCCTTGCACATGGCCAACCTCAGTTTGATCCCCATCTGGGTTTGATCCCCGGCATCCCATATGATCTGCCAATGTCTCCAGGAGTAATTCCTGAGTGCAGAACCAGGAGTAACTCCTGAGCATCATGAAATGTGAGCATGTGTACTCTATAGGTCTCTGTTACACATATAATGTGAAAATCCAAAACCAGCTCCCTGGAACATGCATACATTAATTTATTTTTCACGAAACTTAGTTGTACATATATGTGAAAGTTTCCCGAACCCTAGGAAATATTTTTCATTATGTTTATTCTTTCCTTAAATGACATCAAACAAAAGAAAAGATATTTTTAAAAGCAAAACCCGCCAAAAAAATTAAAAAGTAAAAGCAACACCAAGAGTGCAAAAGTTGAAAGGCAGAAGCATTAGTAGCGATGACATTCATTATCATCTCTATTTTAAGATAGTTGAGTAACCAAGAATGTGTACTCCTCTTGGTTACCCAAACTTAACACAATAGTTTTACTTCTCCCTTTATAACCCCTGTTTCCATGCTTTTTACTGCCTTTTGCTTCCTTTTTTCAGCTCAAATATCCTCTCCTCTGGTGACCCTTCCTCAAACAAGTCAGGCAGCACTGTTCTCTTATATTTCTCTGTTCCCATGGCTGCCTGCATTCAATGTCCACCAGAGTACTGTGATTACCACTTCCTTCTATTCCTTCCTCACAGAACGAAGTGGTAATCACTTCCTCACAGCAATCCTCATCTGTGAGCTCCACATGGCAAGGACTGCATCCCATTTGACCCCATGTCTTAAGCATTTGGCCTCGAGTATGGTAATTGATTGCTCAGTATGGATGCTCAGTAGGTGTTGAACAAGTAAATTTGGAAGTTGTTTGGGTACCACTGACTCAGATTCTACTCCCGTATCACCCCCAGTGATACTGGGATGTACCTGTGTAAACTAAGATTACATTTCCAGGCATCTAATGCATCCTGTGTCCTTCCCAAAGTTCTGCCCAAAGAAAATTGAAAAAAAGTTAATGTTTATCAAACTTCTATTACCTTGTATAATTCTTCATGTTTTCCCTTCCTTTATGGGCTAGCTGAACTAGATGCCCCAAAACATCTGACCCTGAGTGATATATTGCCCATATTATTAATTGATTGCACTGTGAATAAGGAAACTTAAAATGTGTCCAACTACTGAAGATGTGGGTTGTATGTATTTTCGAAGCTAGTACTACCCTATGCATGCAACACAGTGACCCACCCAGTGACTGACTACATGGACAAATACAGATCACCTGCACCCTACCCATGGGCAAGCTCAATACAAAGGAGGATTTGAGATCACCTTCAGCAGATCCAGTTTCAGCAGCAGCTCCCCTTGCGTGGATGAACATAAAGCACCTATAATGATGCTCATATACTCCTCTGGGTTGATCACTGACAGCTGCTCCAAGATGCTGAGTGAGGGTCCTCGGTAGCATTCATCATCCAGAAAGATCTTGATGAAGGGCACCATGCCGTGGTCTTTCAGAACAACTATAGACCAGACAAAGAGGAGGAGGCTAGAGTGAGAAGGTTTAGCCCCTTGATTTTAATTACAGGAACAGCTTTGTCTTAACAATTTCCAGGTTTGTATTGCTCCATATTTCTATTTTTTATCTACCCACTGGAAACTTTTTCTCAAAATCCATAACAGCTATTAAAGAGAGGGAGAAAAAACTGGAGCAAAGAATTTAATAGAAAGCTGCTGTTCATTTTATTTTTTCTGAAGAAAAAAATTCTATTTTAGAGAGGAAATCATGTTTAAGAAGTATTATTCTTTGTCCTTTATTTAAAATAATTTTATAATTCATAAAGAATGAAAATTCTGGTAAAATTTTTACTTGAAAGAAAATCAGAATTTAAGTCAAGAATATACTTAATTCCTCGATAGTTTTTATGTGGTTATGGATTTTAAAATTTTGCTGGAGTTATAATTTTGTTTAAAAGTATCTTTAAGAATTTTTTTCTCCAGGATTGATTGGCATTTGGGACAATATTATGCAGAATAAGAACTACTAAGTAGTTTTCCTCCTAAACTGCATTCAAATGTCATGATATAGATTTGAGCTGGTTAATTCCATAAAGTGCAATTTCTCCAGTTATGGATTAGGTACCTCCCAACATACAAGTTACCTTGGAGAATGTTTATAATAGATTGCCAAAATTTGACTTTGGATACTAATTAATTCTCTAGGAGTTAACCTTGGAATATGCACCTTCATGTTAACCAGCACCTCCAGTGAACCTACTAGCATATTGCTAGAGGTCGTCTTCCATAATAAAATAACATTCACACTTGGCATAGTTGATCTATCAACTATGATAGAGTTGATCTATAAGGATATCAAAGATTCCCCAAATCACAAACTCACTGATGTAATTTTGTTGAAGAACAGTATTAATATATATACATATATTTTATATCCTTGTATCATAAACATGGAATCTTCACGACCTTAGGAAGCAAAATGCATTTGGATGAATGGATGGAATAATAAGGACTATCTTGGACTAGAAGTGTGCCAAATTATTTATCTTTAAAGTAACTAGCTCTTTCTTTTTTTCTGTATTTTACAAATAAGAAAGAAGCAACAAGTGTCAGTGCAGAGATTAATAAAATTTTACTTGGGAAACAGAAGCTTTGTGGTCTCGTACATTTAGGACACTCATACATTTAGAGCAAAGAGGTCACCTTAGCAACTTTAAATTGAAATCTGTTCAGTATCCAGCAATTGTTGGAAGTGGAAATTGGCAACAGCATTGTGTCAGTTACTCTTTGGATAAAACCTTTGGGTTAAACAGGGATATAAATCACCAAGACATAATAATAGTTCACCCAGCAGTGACAAGACAAATTGATCATCATTACCAGCATTCCGAACTGAGCCTTTCAGAAGTGCATCCACAGTTCTCAGCATCACACAGGTGAGATCTCTTTCTGGATCTTGAACACCAAGACTGGACTCTTTGCTTCCTGCCACATTTTAAGAGGAAATTTCTTTTAAAATTAACTAGGCATGATATCATCCACAATCTTATGCATTAGTTTTCCCTCCTCCTAAAAACGCGTGAATATAATGCCTCTACTATAAAGGTGTGAATATCCCTGTTCATAACATATAATCCTATTCCATTACCACAGTGGTTCTACAGTGATTCTACAACTTGAGCGCATCAAAGTCCCCAGAAGAGCTGGTTATTAAAACCCTAAAGTTGTGTCCCATTCTCAGGTGGCATCAGGTGGGATCCTACAATGTACATCTCTAACAAGTTCCCAAGCAATGCCGATAGAGTTGATCTTCAGATACTGCTTAAGGACCCCAGATTGTCATGATACCTAAATCCCTGACTCCACACCCTAGGAGAGTAGAGATAAGGACCAGTAGGATTGCTCCATGACTTGGAAGCCAGCCTCACATATGCTGGGGGAAAAGGCAGCTCAGATAGAGAAGGTACCACCAAGTAAAGGATGCTTGGAGAGCCCACTTGGAATGGGAGATGTGTGCTGAAAGTAGACTATAGACTGAACATGATGTCCACTTAATACCTGTATTGCAAACCATAACACCAAAAAGGAGAGAGAGAATAAAAGGGAATGCGCCTGCCACAGAGGCAGGGTGGGGTGGGAGGGGGCTCTGGGGTGGGGGTGTGGGGAGGGAAACTGGGAACATTGGTGGTGTAGAATGGACACTGGTGGAGGGATGGGTACTCAATCATTGTATGACTGAAACATAAACACAAAAATTTGTAATGCTGTAATTACCTCTCAGTGATTCACTAAAAATTTTTTAAATAAAATTTAAAAAATAAAATAAATTAAAAAATAAATCTCTGACTCCTTGATTTTCCATCACACACTTAAGAATTTGTCTGTCATGCTTGAGAAGGAGGATGGCCAAATCACCCCTGTGGTATGGAGAGGCACAAGAGATTCTAGAGCAGAGAGGTCACCAAGAGCAATCTAGACCTGGGCATTCACTGCTGAATGTACAGTGCCAGGAAAGTATGTCACGTGAATAAGAGGCTCATTCCATAACTGGAGGATGAATGGACGGGTGAGAACAAGTAGAGTTTAAAAACTAGAAGAAATCACTGTCACTGTCACTGTCCTCCCATTGTTCATCGATTTGCTCAAGTGGGCCCAGTAACATCTCCATTGTGAGACTTGTTGTTACTGCATATCCAGTACGTCATGGGTAGCTTGTCAGGCTTTGCCGTGAGGGCAAGAGACTCTTGGTAGCTTGATGGGCTCTCCAAGAGGGGCGGAAGAATTGAACTCGGGTTGGCCCTGTCAGCTGCGTGCAAGGCAAATGCCCTACCCACTGTGCTATCACTCTAAAAAATATTTAACAATTAAAAAGAGCAGCTCACCAAAAAAAAAAGATTTCAAACTGTCCTATAAAGGGTTGTAGGTCTGGCATCAAATTTACAAGCAAATTTAATGTGAGGTAACTGCAGAGCAATATGCAGTTAAGATAACATTGAAGCACAAAATAACAGAGGGAAAGCATAGAAAAATGCACAGAGCAAACACTCCTCGAGGCCTGGCCCAGAGAACCACATGCTTGGAGACAAAGTTCCTCATCTTCAATCCCAACCCTCTTTCAAATTACCCTCTTTGCCAGGAAGGCATAAATTCTTGCTGGCCTCTGAAAGGTGTGTGAATCCTGCTCACAAGTTCAGCAGAAGCGCAGAGCCTACAGGGATGGGATGACTAACACTCTGGGGGACCTATTACATTACAGGCATATAGGAAATTATTGGTCAGGGTATTCTCATTAAATTCGTACATTTTTCCTCGATTGTAGATATTATTCTCTCTCTCTCTCTCTCTCTCTCTCTCTCTCTCTCTCTCTCTCTCTCTCTCTCTCTCTCTCTCACACACACACACACACGTGTGCACGCGCGCACGTCACACCATTTACCAGATGAGGAATCAGGCTCCTCGAGGTTAAGAAACTATCTTAGGATAACTCAGCTCCTATATTACACACAGTTAGAATTCCAGGTCAGAGTATCTAATCTCAACACACCCTCCACTTTTACTTCCTTCCCCTCTGATAGGCCCAGGAAGCAGACTACCTGATGGCTTTAGTTAGAAGCTGAAAAAAAAAAAAAACCTCACAAGGCAAAGAGCTAAAAAGTCAATTGCCATGAGCCTGCTATCCAGTGAAGTGAGAGGGGAGGAGACGAAAAGATGGAGAAAGTAAGTGGCTGGATTCTGTGTCTCATTGGCCCTCCTCTGGGCTGACATCCCAAAGCTATGGACAAATGGATAGAGAGCCAGGAGGGTAAAGGAGCAGGTGGTGTTTATACCCTGAGGGGGGCAGACAAACCCACTGAGTGCTCCCAGCACAGTGTACACAAAGAACAGAAGTGAGCAATTAGGAGGCCCCAGTCAACACTCCTAAGTCAACTCCCACCTGGATAGAAGGACCCTAAGTCCTATAGTGTTAAATTTGAGAGTTCAAAGTGTAGAGACAAGACAGGGCTGATGGAAGTTGCCAAGGAGCCTCAAGAATTATAACAGCAGGACACATGAAAGCACATTCAAGGTTTGAGGAAGGTCAACCTGGTTCTGCATGCAAGCCCTAGTGACTGATCCCTGCCAATAAAAGACCATTGGGCTCATAGCACCAAAAGAGAAACGGTGGTGCACAGCCGTATGCAAGTTAGCCTTGGATGGCTTCTCATCCCAGCTCCCCAACCCCACCCCAGAGCCCCAGACTCTCTAAACCCTTTCTCCTCTGCCTTACTAAAGAGCTGTTATTTCTCCCTGCTGTCTCCCCACTGACACACTCAAAGAACATCTAGAGCAAGAGACAGCTGAAGGCAGAAAATCCATCAGGCCTGATGACCCTGTACATAAGCCTGTTCAAACTCCATGAGCCTGTACAAAGTTAGTTTCCGCCCTCCAACTAGTTCCAGGAAATAGGGCAGCAGCTGCTCTGTGAAGCCACATGCCTCAGAGGTTTCTTTTATGACCCTTATGGTATTAGGTGTAAGGGGCACACCCATTTCTCTGTTATATTAATAAATACCAGGGTTGCTGTACAGAGCAAGTCCAGTTAACACTGACCACTAGCCCATGTCCTGTCCCTACTCCTGGGGAGCACCTGACTTCCTCAGGATCTTGGCCTGTTTCCGCAACTGGGCCAGCAGGAGGCCCAGGAGTCCTGAGTCCCGGAAGATGTCGGTGAAGAGCAGGTCCCTGCCCACGATCTTGATGATGCTCTGCAGGGCGACAAGGCTGCAGGGTAGCTCAGGGCTCTCCTTGATCAGGTGCTGCACCTTCCGCAGGATCTCATGGGGCACATAATGCAGCTCAAACACCAGGGCCTCCAGCAGTTGGAAGAAGAGTCTCTGTACTGACAGCGGCTTCAGGGGCACGAGCTCCACAAACTGCGAGATGGGCTGCAGGGTCCACTCCAGCAGGAAGAAGTTGCGGGCGTTCCAGGCCCACATGGTCTTGATGGCTGTTAAGACTTTGAGGCAGATCACAGAGTTGCTGACCCTATGGAAAACATTCTGCAGGACTTGGAAGGCCTGAAGGTTCTTAACAGTCACCCCTGGTGATGAAAAAAAGAATTGATTCAAGAAGTCATTTTTTCCTGCCTTTCCCTAGAAATGCATGCCTCCTTTACTGTTACTAAATACCACTTGAGATCTCTATTTTAAGTCCCGAGATGCCAACAGCCCGGTGTGTAAGTTAGAGCTGCTTTGTCCAAGATGTGGTGGCTATCTGATTCTATGAAATGGGGCCATGTTGGACTGAGATATTCCATGAGTGCCGAACTGCACAGGAGATTTCCAAGACTAAATACAAATCAAGAATGCAAAAGGCAAAAGCCATTAATAATAATTTATGTTAATCATGTGTTGAGCGATTCCTACTTTGGATATAATGGTTAAATAAAATACATCATTGCACT